TTCCATTGTGTGAATAATCTTAAGCACTTTTATGCAGCCCTGTTATGTAGCCGTACTTGTCACTGGTTTCCAAGTATTTCTGTTCCATTAACAGAAACTTTTACCTCTGGAGCGTTAAATCCACAATCTCTTTCACATTATAGAGAGATATGTGTATGTTTTGAGACGACCAAGTCTCTGGTAGCAAAAATTATGCTACAGTTCTCAGCATCCAATCAAGCTGAGCACACACATTGAGGTTTTCATCTTTATAGATCCTTGATCTACTTTTACAACGTTGAGCAGAATCGCATGTCGTTTCTGAACAATTGGATGTAGACATGGTTTCTTTCCTACATTCTTTTTTTAAAAATTTCTTCTTTTTTCTTCTTGCGTACCTTTGAATCCAAGCTGATGGGCACAGTTCCTTCTCCGGCAGAACGTCTCATGGATTCAAACAGCATACCTTCAGGATTGTAGCCCAGCATTTTGCCACTAGACCCCCAGAGGTCCCCTCTCTGCCAGTCTTGATGAGCCTTTCACCCAGTTATTACTCATAAGAAGGCGAGAGTAAATTAGGTTGATGTTTTCTATCGAGTCAGGCCTGCTTGCCTCTCTCCTGGGGCATGAGTACATTTCTCCATCTATAAATTTCTTGGTAGAATGTATACTCCCTTGAAAGTGTGTGAACAAGTAGAGTTCTTGAAGGAGCAAGCCTCTTCTACCTTCATTCCAAATGTCCTTTCAGTGTATTTTGCCTTCAGCGTTGCTGATCTATACATAGGTAGGCCACCTTCCCAAGACTAGACTGTGAGGGTAACAGCAGTACTCCTTACAGATTAAGACAAATGAGTGAAGGCAAAATCCGCTTTATTCCTTATTGACTAAACATTATTTCTTCTACATTGTCTCTTTCAGGTCTCAAGTGTGATTCCAGGACAACTATTCCAGTCAGCTGAGGACCGGGAGGCACCCTCAGCCCTTGTGAAGGGAGTATGGACCAAACAGTGTTCATCTGCCTCCAAATTACCTCGTGTTCTTCTCCCAGGAGGAACGCTCCTCCTTGAAGGGATATCTTTGGATTAGCAAAGACATTCTTCTAGAATTGCAGACAGGGGAACAAGGAAATGGTGAGGGAAAAGGCCTGTCAACCTCCAATGGATGGTGTTGGATAGAATCTCTTGGGGGGCCCCATGATGTCCTGTAGGCCCTCAGTTTTCCCGTAAGGAGAAAGGATGAGAGGGGAAGCTCTTAGAAGAAGCCTAGAAGACTCTCTCATTGCCTTCTCCCTTAATCCTCAGCCCTTTCCCTATCTGTGCTCTTTCCTGGGGGAGATGCCTAGGTTCACTTTGCTGAGGTGCTCCCTGACATGGTGCTACCTTCTGTTCTCTCCCCCCTGGGCCTTGCTTCTCCTGGTCTCATGACAGCATCTCCCACTCAGAAGAACCCACAGGTGCTCCAGCACAACCTCATCTGTGATTTTCACAGCCTGCTTATGTGGTTGCACTTGCTTTATTTCTTTCACCCCCGCAAAGTGTTTTATGTTTTGTTTTCAGACCTTAGGTGTGGAGAAAGAATGAACTCATGGTCTAAATCCTCACCCTTTTCCTTCCCACACGTGCTTAGAGTTGGTGTATAATTCTTGTCCATTCTTTGCACCGTGCAAAGGAAGCTCTGTAGGCATCGTGTGTCGGCAGAGAGTGGTCCTCCTAAATGAAAGCGGGCTCTTTCACGTCCCCCAGCTGTTCAGTGAGAGAATGATGGACATTTCTTTGCTAGTGCGCCTCATGGCCTCAGAAGACCTGCTGCTCTGTAGATTATTTCCTGGTGCCTCGCACTAACTTCCTGACTGTTGCATTCTCCCATGACAGTGGAAAATTAAAAGTCACTTTAGCTGCAGAAAATAAATATCTGACATGGGGAAATTCAAGATCTGGCAGTACAGTTTTCACTCAAATTCAGTTTCTAGATTATTTGGTATATTTCTACTGAGAGTCATTTTTCCCTGGCTCCCTTAATTTCTTGTTTCTTTTTGTGTCATTTCCAGTTTTGTCTCTCAACTAATTTTGGCACCACCCTCCTTAGCGTTCTTCCAACATCACTCACGCCATGATGGGTATTTCAGGTTCCATGGTAATTTAATGTAGTTTTTTCCCCTCTCCCTTCATTGACAAAGAATAACACTGTCTTTCTGTGGTACTTAGGATACTAAGGAGTTACACCAATAATCCAAATACTAGTCTTGGGCTTGTTCAGCTGTCCCCCAGTGCCACTGAAATCCTGTGTGAATTGGGGTTTTAAGAGACAAGGGAAAGAGAGGGAAACCAATCTAATTAGAATCTTCTCTAATGCTGATAGGACCTGCTGTTGCACAGAGCTGAATTCCGTGTTTTCCTCTGCCTGGTTTCCTTGGCTGAGAGTTAAAAGTCTTGGTCGTTGTACACTGTGAGTCCTCCAGAATCCACTTAAGCTTCCTGCTTTGTCAAGTACAGCAGTCGTGAAAGCCACTTAGTACTTGCATGTAGAAGGTTATGAATGGCACTTACCCACGTGATTCCCAAGACTTTCATACCTTGGGCAGGGCCCTTTGATACCCAAACAGCCCACCCATAATCTGAAGCAATCTTTAATCTCTTCTCTGTTTTCATCAGAATCAGTTTTAGAATCAGAACTGACTCTTAACTCAGCCTCCACTTGGGTTAGAGAGAGAAAAATCACAAGGGTGGAGATGACTTAACCTTCGCCTGTCAAAGAGTGGATCGATTAAAATACCTGCCTTTGTGTTGGTAGGGCCACTTTTGCATCACGCTACTGGAGGTCCCTTTTTTTCCTTTGTTTTTTAATTTTATTAATTTCAATAATCATTTACAGAGATTTTGGATTTCCATTCATTCATTGATGCACTATTTTCTCTACCCCTCTCCCGTGCCCAGTTCGCTCCTCTCTCCAAAAAGCAAAAGACAGACTTCTTCGTTGGTATACAGTCCACCCCCCCGCCCAATGCACTCCGCTATGCAACCTTAATTCTGGATTCCTGTGATAGTCATAATACTCTATCATATATCACACTTAAACTGTTCTCTCCCTCATCTGTTTCAGTGCAATATACATAATCTATCCAGTTTTTCTCAGTCTTACCCCAACCCTGATGTCAGTCCCATTCTACAACAGAGGCCCTATGCAGTATTTGTCTTTTTGTGACTGAGATTTTTTAGTCAGCATAAGGTCCTCCAGGGTCACCCCTTTTGAATAATATTGCATGAGTTCGAGGTCCTTTATTTTTGTAGTCACGTGATGTCATCAGTCTATGGTATCCGGATCCTAGATACATGTACTGTATCAGGATCCGGGATATGGTCACCAAATGCACAAATATAAAACTTGATCCTGTGGAAGTTGCAAGGCATTCTTGGAGGCTGATTTCACTGTCTTCAGATCCTTGAATAAAGTGCATGACTAATAGGCAAGCATTCTGTTTCTATTGGAAAAGCACCTGACAGGGAAGGACGCCTTGTTTCAGAGTACTCTCAGCAAGTGCTTTGTAAACACAGGACATCCCACTGGTCCAAGATGGCCAGCTTTGCTTCTTGTGTTTTGTCTTGCGAGTAAAAACCTTGCACAGGAGAAGTTAGGAGCGGGTCCAGACTCTGTTTCATGTGAGAACATTTTGCTTCATTACAAGTTGAATACATTCAACAGTTTGTGCACTTACCCATAGGGAATGTCCTTGTTCTGTTACTTCAGAAGTAGTGTCTCAAGTCTCACATCACCTCCATTTTTGTGGCTGCATTTGAGAGAATTAAGCACTGGTAATTGCCTGATACAGTCTATAGTCTTCAGTTACATGCTATGCATGGGAGAGTTGGACAGTGACTAGGGATGATAGAAAGAGAATTGATGCCTTTGAGCTGTGGTGCTGGAGAAGAGTGTTGAATAGACCATGGACTGCTAGGGGAACAAACTGGTTTGTCCTGGACAGGGTGAAGTCGGAATGCCCCTTGGAGTCAAGGGTTCTGAAGCTTCATCTAACATACTTTGGGCATGTTGCAAGGAGGGACTGGTCATTGGAGAGGGACATCATGCTTGGGAGAGTGGAGGCACGGCGCAGGAGAGGAAGACCTTTGGTGAAATGGATCGATTCTGTGTTTGGGGTGGTGGAAATGAGTGTGTTTGAGACGTCGAGGTTGGCACAGGATAGAGCAGCATTTAGGGCTCTTGTACATAGGGTCGCTATGAATCGCATAACAACAACAGCAATTGCTGTCCATTCATATGACAGACATTTTCACTGTGTTAGGGATCTGGGTTCTCTTTGACTTGTGTCACATGTCTTCTTTTTTAAATTCTATGAACGTTTCTTTTCTGTACAGAAAGATGATGTGGGAAAAACCCTAAACAAACATTGGTGCGGAAAATCTGTCATCAGCATGGGTGAATTCATAGTGCTTTTAAAGGCGGCTTCTTTTTTCAGTACATGGATGTTTGATATTCACTTTGCTAGAAAACACAAAAGGGTGACCATCTGAAGTTGTCTTTCTGTCGTTTTGTACACTCTTGGTTTTCTCCTGTCTCTAAGACACGCAAGAAGATAGAGCCGTTCTGACATGTTTCCATGACATTATCATGCCTCTCCCCGTTCAGTGTGTCTTGTATATTTTGTCAACTATTCTTAGCTTTTCTAAAGAGGTGAAATTGACTGTTCCCAACTGACGGATGTGCCCTTTTCAGTCCTATATCTGCTTTTTGATCCTTCCTTTGTGTTCTCGACCATTGAGTGAGTGTGCATATGTTCACACTGAAAGTACACACAATACGTTCATTGTTTGTTCTGGTAAAATTGGTAGCAGAGCTGGTACAAGAAGTGTCCAGTCAAGTGCCGTTCCACATGCTTGACCTGGAATCAAAGTCTGTGATTTCAAACATCAGCTGTTCTCACCTTGTTCAGTTGCCCAGCTCCTCTGTGTCCGTGAGGGTCAAAAATTGGCCGGAAGCTCTCTCGCAGACTCAGATACGTGAGGGCAATGACTTCCCTGCCTGGAGGTGTGCAGGCCGGCTTTGCAGACACTGGTGAGCGGCAGCCTAGGGCCCGGTCATTTGTGCAACAGATGCATGGTGACTGTGGGTGACGTACGGCGGTGGTGCAGAGAGTGGTGAGCAGTGGACCGCCATGGATGCAGCTGGATCTTGTACTCCAGGAAAGCAAGTGTTGCAAAGAGGGAGAGACCAGCACAGAAGTCTACAATGCTATTTGTTGTTGTTTGATGCCGTCGAGTCGTAGACGACTCATAGCGACCCTATGAACTAAAGACCTGAGCACTGTTCGTACATAGAGTTTCTGGAGGCAAGCCATTGTGGAAGTGGATGCCGCTCCTGCTTCCAGGCTTGATTTAGTCGGGAAGCTCCAGGCAACACTGTCCACCGTGGGTGCCCATTACCACGATTGGCACATCACTGTCACAGGCTCCAGCATCACAGCAACCACGAGTTACCTCTCTGTAATCCCGTAGTAGGGTGTATACCACTGGAATCCTTTTCCCCCTTCATGTAATAGCTATTTCAGCACAAAATAGACAGTTAATGATTGACTAGGCATATGACCTTAAATGTGACCTTAAAAAGAAAATCGTAAGACACCGAGACTCAGGTATTTCAGAATATGATGAATCTGACAGATGGGGTTTAATCAGTGAGGCAATGAATGGACTTAGTGAAGGAACAAGGCTGAAGTCTGATTTTCTGTGTCAATCTTAGTAGAAAGTAGAGCTTGAGTCATTCCAGTGTGATGTCTCAGGTTTCCAGGTCTGCCAGGCCCATACTATGTTCTTTTTTTCCCCCCCTTTTTTATTTTAATAAACATTTACAGAGAATTTGGATTTCCATTCATTCATTGCTGCACTTCTCTCCTCGCCCAGCCCTCTCCCACCCGCCCACCAGTTCGCTCCTCTCTTTCAAAAGTAAGACTCCCTCCCTGGTACACAATTCCCCCGCACCTCTTCCACCGCCCCAAGTACATTCCACGATGCAACCTTAATTGTGGACTCTTGTGATAACCATAAGACCCTATCATACATCGCTTTTAAATTACTCACTCCCTCATCTGTTTCAGTGCAGTATACACAATTTATCCAGTTTTTCTCAGTCTTACCCCCACCCTGATATCAGTCCCATTTTACAGCAGTGGCACCATGCAATATTTGTCCTGTTGTGACTGAGAGATTTCACACTGCATCATGTCCTCCAGGCTCACCCATTTTGAATAATATTGAATGAGTTGCTTGTTTTTCAGTGCTGCATAGTATTCCATTGTGTGAATAGATCACAGCTTCTCTATCCATTCATTTGTTGATGGGTACCTGGGTTGTTTCCAACTCCTTGCTGTTGTGAACAGAGCTGTGATAAACATGGGTGTGCATATATCTGTTTGGATGTCAGTTATGGTCTCTTTGGGGTAAATTCCCAGTAGTGGAATTGCTGGGTCAAATGGTATTTCTATTTGCAAGTTTTTGAGAAAGTGCCGTACCGCTTTCTACAGTGGTTGCACCACATACTATGTTCTTGTTGGCGAACATGGTACCTTGGTGACCCAGAATAGGTTGTGTGTTTCAGGCACCGTTGTTTCTGGAGAACGTGGTCATCCTCTTCAGCCGGGAAGAGTGGGCTTTGCTGAATGTCGCTCAGAAGAAACTCTACAAGGATGTGATGAGGAAAATAATGAAAACCTTGGAATTCATAGGTAAAAATTGTATTTTCTATATTTTTCAATCTTTTCATGCACACATAATTGATTCATGAACATTGCCTTTGGCCTTGGCCTGAAGAATTGGAAGGCAGGGTTCTATAACATGGGCAAGGTACCTTGGCTTTTGGCACTCATCTATGGAGAATGACCCATTCATGTGGCCTCGGTGTTTGATGCTATATTTTCTCTTCATGTGATGAAAGCAACTCAGATGTGTAAGTCTTATAAGTGTATCCATCAACTTCATAGGTCAGGAGTCAGGGCAAAGTCCATGGAGCAGTGATAAAAGAACTCCAAGAGGTCCCCTGACTTGGGAACCACCACAAAATCTTGGATTTGCTCACGACCCTCTCCCAGTGTTGATAGACTGGCATTTATGTGAACCAAGTTCAAAAAAGTCTCTTTTTCGCTTGAGGAGGCAATGTGAAGAGATCAGTGCAGGGTCATTCCTGCATTGCTAGTCCAGTCACGGACCCACTTTTCTCTTTTTTGTGTTATGTGTGTCCTGAGTGATGTGATGGAACGTGTGTGCTTTGTGATCCTGTGTGTGGACTGCATATACTTTACCAACCAAAGGAAGGCCATTGGTATCAGGATATGTTTAATGTGTCTCAGATGCTGCCTAGGGAATCGTTGTTTATGCACCAGGAAAGTGCTGAAACTCAAAATTGTGCCTATGTTTGTTCACAAGAGTCTGTCCTCTGTTACATCAGTCCTCTCTGTGTCCTTGTGTCCAACGTGGCTTCATTTTTGTGGCAGGCATTCAGAATGTTCATAACACAGAAGCCTTGTTTTCTGAACGTAGACACTTGAAATACTTAAAGACCCTCCTTCGCCAGTCCGCAGGAAACATTTCAAAATGCCGTGGCAGGAAAGATCTACCTAGAAACCAAGAGGACAGTTTGAGGTGAGTATCATGGAGATGAAAAACAAAACCTTGTAGGAAACAGAGTCACTTTGGAGTCAGAAAGTCTGCCGATTTAGGAAACCAATTCCAGGAATATTGTTTTGGGTGAATTATGAAATGTCAGCGTCTGTGAAGGAAAATCCACACATCTCCTTTGTGCTGGGTCATGAGTCAATGGGAACGTATTGATTGACAACTGCGTGTTGTTTATTTTGAAGTCAAACACGGGAGCATCTATCTGCAAGAATGGAGAACAGCCAGCCTGGGGAAACCTTCCTCAGAATTCCACATCTTCCCTGCTGGGCCAGCAGTCGTGTGGAGGTGAACCCGCTGAGAACTCCCATTGGTGAGAGCAGCTATGGATGTCACACGTGTGGGCGACATTTCTGCACCTTCTCGTTATTTTGGATCCATATCGTAGACGAGCATGACTGGACAGAAAGCTCTGAAACCTATATTAATCCTTTTCCTTTACTTTCCCATAAAGCACTTAATTATCCATATAAGCTTTGTAAATCTAGGGAAAGTGGGAAAGTCTTTTTTTATTCCTCTTCCCTTTTGAGTCCATCAGACGTCACAGAACATAGATGCCTTGCCAGTTCAGAGAAGCCGTTTCCATGCAAGGCGTATGGTAAATCATACCGTTTTCTCTCAAACCTGAGTAAACATGAAAGAACACACGGAGGCGAGATACTATCTGAACAGAAGCAGTGTTGGAAAACCTTACTTCAACCTGTTTGTCTACCTGTCCTTGCAAGAGGTCAATTACAACAGAGACCTCGTGAAGGTAACAAAAGGAAGAAACCATTTTCACAACGTAGGGAGCTGACTGCACACAGAAGAATTCACGCAGGAGAGAGACCTTATGAATGTAAGGAATGTGGGAAAGCATTTCCACACTCCAGTCACCTCAGGATACATAAACGAATCCACACGGGAGAGAGACCATATGAATGTCAGGACTGTGGAAAAGCATTTTCACACTCAAGTCACTTCAATATCCATCGACGAATCCACACGGGAGAGAGACCTTACGAATGTCAGGAGTGTGGGAAAACCTTTACAGGGTCAACTCAGCTGAGCAGACATCGACGGATTCACACGGGAGAGAGACCTTACGAATGCCAGGAGTGTGGGAAAACCTTCAGTCAGTCCGGTCCCCTTAAGAGACATAAACTCATTCACACGGGAGAGAGACCTTACGAGTGTGAGGCCTGTGGAAAAACCTTCAGTCAGTCAGGTCCGCTGAATAGACATCGACGCATTCACACAGGAGAAAGACCTTACGAATGTCAGGACTGTGGGAAAACCTTCAGTGAGTCAGGTCCCCTGAATCGACACAGACTTCTTCACACAGGAGTGAGACCGTATGAATGTGAGGAATGTGCAAAAGCCTTTACAGACTTAACTCAGCTCAATACACATAGACAGATTCACACAGGACAGAGACCTCATGAATGCAAGGAATGTGGGAAAGCATTTTTACGTGCAGCTCACCTGCTGGCCCACAGAACGGTGCACACGGGAGAGAGACCCTATGAATGTCAGGACTGTGGAAAAACGTTTACTCAGTCAGCTGTTCTCATTGCTCATAGGAGAATTCACACCGGAGAGAGACCTTATCAGTGTCACTGTGGAAAAACCTTTAAACAGTCAGGGCACCTCAGAAAACATAGACTAATTCATGCAAAAGAGAGATGATAGGAATTCCAGGAGTGTGGGTAAATAGTTACAAAATTAGGTCATATGCATAGACGTAAAAGAACATGCACAGGAGAGAGTCTGTATATATGGAAGGGCTGTTGGAAAACATTCCTCTGATCCTATGACCTAAGTGTACATGGAATAATTTACAGTGGAGAAAACCTTAAGATTGTGGGATACACGATCAGATACCCTCAGTGTTCACAGGAGAATTCACACAGGAGAATTCACACAGGAGAGAGACCTTATGAATGTCAGGTATGTTGGAAAACCTTTGCCCTATCAGGTCACCTCATTGTGCATAGAATTCACACAGGAGAGTGACCTTATGAGTGTAAGAAAGCATTTTCACAATCAGACATCTTCACCAAACATAGAAAATTTCACTCAGGAGAGAAACCTTATCATTGTCAGTAAGGTGGTAACACATTTTTTTATCTCTATTTATCTCATCGTACGTAAAGGAGAGAGACCAGAGGTTAGGAATGTGGGAGAACGTTGACTACGTTGGATTCTGTAACTGTACATGCAAGAATTCACATGGAAGGAAAGACCTTACAAATGTAAAGCATGTGGAAAAACATTTTGACACTCCAGTCGTCTCAGAAACATTAGAATTCACATAGTCTAGACACCTGATGAATGCAAGGAGTGTGGGAAAACAGGTTCACCATCAGGTCTCGTGCATGAACACAGAAGAGCTCATGCCGGAGAGAGGCCACGTGTGGAACGTGGTCAGAGTTTTCATGACACAACCAGCCTCCGTGATCATAGAAGAACTCACTCAGGAGAGAGGCTCAATCAATATGACGACTGCAAAAGCTTTCCTGGTCTTGGAAAACTTGCTAAAAGTGTGAGAATTCACACAGGAGAGAGCTGAGAAGGGCAGCAATGTGGGAAAGCGTTTTCACCATCAGGCCAGTTGCATGCGCATAAAAATGCACACCAGAGAGTACTCGAGATTGTATCGAATGGAGAGACCCTGATATATCCAATCTACATGAAGAGTTCACCCAGGATATATCATCGGAAAGTGGCGGAACTTTCCACAATGTGGTGCCGTCAGGACATGCAGGGTTTGACACAACGAGACGTCTTAGGAAGGTGAGCGATGGAAAACACGGATTCTCCTTCCTTCCTTCCTCAGGACACATGTGTACATGCACCCTGGAGACTGGCTGCATGCATGTAAGCAATACAAGCACACAGTGTGTCCACTCAGTCCTCTGTCCTCACTGGCTCCCTTAGAACTTACAGTCAGTAGGACACATGACTAAGAAAAATACTACACAATTACTCTTCCTCATTCCCGTCACACAGGACACCTCTCGTTCTGTCATGAAAAGTAAGATATTTGCTCAGGTTTTTAATATTTATCCTGTGTGTGGGAGTCCTTCATGGTTTGCTGAAGCTACATTTTGTACCACTGTGCTAAATTCATCAATGTTTTGCCAATGTTTGGTTTTGCAGCCAATCTTACTGTTTTCCCAGATCCAAGCTAAAATTTTTCCTTCTTAAAGTCTGTAAATTAAAATAAAAAAGTATTAAAAAGTTATAAAGTCAATCACTGTTAGGAATAAAACTGTAGAAAATACGTCCTTTTTGTAAGTTTTCCAGTTTCTAATGGATATTTTTCTATGCCATTAAAAAATTTGTATGAGAGGTTTTGTTTCATGAACGGCTTTTCTTCTTTCTTTTATTATTAAATTTTATTAGTTTTAATGAACATTTACAGAGATTTTGGGTTTTCATTCATTCATTATTGCACTGTTTTCTCCACCCTCCTCCCCAGTTCGTTCTTCAAAGCCACAATATTTTGACATAATGTTTCATAATATTTCTGATATATTTCAGGGATTATAAATTCATGGCCTATGTTAAATTTCAGACTTTACAGTACACAGCAATACAACAACAACATTGCTAAATTTAGCTCATGTTTTTGTTGTTATGTGCTTTTGAGTCACCTGAGGCTCAAAGGTTGCCTGTGTACGGTACCTTTGAACCCTGTCTTATCCTGTGCAATCTCACTGTCTCCAATATATCTACATTACTATCCCAGGTACTGTGTTAATCCATCTCCTCTCCAAGTTTTTCTCTTGTCCTATCCCTCCATCTTTCCAAGATGATCTCCTTCTCCAAAGACAAGTCCTTCTTGAAAAATATGTTAAGCAGAGTATCAAAATCCTTAGTTCCAAGGAGCAACTTGGTTTAACCCTTTCTAACACAATAAACAGATGCTGCCTTAGCTAGGCTCATCAGGTCATGAAAAGAAACCTGGAGGATAACTACCTGGCAAACTGACTAAAAAGCCATCTGGAAGCTGGGCAACATTCCATGCTGACAAACCTCTTGGGAGACATTTCAATCAGCCTAGTGTAACATGGCTACAGCCAATCAGAAGAGAGGATAACCACTGGCCACATCCTACCTAAATGTCAGCTATGACACAACCCATCTAAGAGTCCTAAGTAGCTCCATACATGGGAACGGACAGAGGGCATCCAATTAGTGTCTTCTACAGAGAGCTGACCACTGAATAGAGAGAGCTAACCACAGAATAGATCAAATTATCTCCCACCCCTCCTACATAAAACCTTTGTTGTAGCTTTCCCAAGTGAAACTTCCCATCCCGACTGCCTTCCTCCAGCCTGGAGCTGCAGAACTTGGTCTATGAGCTGATAATAAATTCCTTTGTTATACTTCATCTGGTTCTCCACAGCCTTTTTACCTCACACTGACTGGAAGAGATCTATGTTTATTCTCACTCCAAAAATAGGTGATCTAACAGAGTGTGGAAATGTTTGAACAATATCACTAATATTACATAAAACCAAAATCCTGCTGAAGATTATCCAAAAACAACTGGAATAGTACATCAACAGAGAACTACCAGAAATGCAAGCTGAGTTTAGAAGAGGCCATGACATTAGGGACATCATAACCAATGTCGCATTTATCTTGGCTGAAAGCAGAGTACCAGAAAATTGACTATAATTGTTGTGTGGATCACAACAAATTGTGCCTCACATTGAGAAGAATGGAAATCCCATTGTGCTTGTACAAAATCAATACATGGATAAAGAAGCAGTCATCTGAACAGAGCAAGGAAACACTGCAGTGCTCAAAATCAGGAAAGCTTTTCAATCTATGTACAGAACAGATCATTCAGTAGGCTGGACTTTATGAGCAATGTAGTATCAGGATTGAAGGAAGATTCATCAACAACATGGCTTTATACAGATGGCATGACCTTACTTGCTGAAATGGAAGAAGACCTGAGTTATTTGTTGCAGAAAGTCAGGGACTGCAGTCTTCAATAGGATTGAAGTTCAACACTCAGAAGTTAAATATTCTCACCACGTGGCCAAATAGCAGCAATATAACAGATGGAGAGGGGATTGAGCTTGTTAACAATCATCTTGCTTAGTTCTAAAGCCAACACTCTTGGCACCAGCAGTTAGGAAATCAAAAGACTAATTGCACTGGGAAAATCTGTTTTCAGGGACCTCTCCAGAGTTTTGTTGGGTTTTTTTTTCTTCTTTTTAATTAATGATTTTTTCTTTTTAATTTTTTTTTATTTTTTATTAATAATTTTAATGAACATTTACACATATTTTTTATTTCCATTCATTAATTGCTGTACTTCTCTCCCCACCTAGCCCTCCCCTCCCAGTCCACTTCTCTCTTTGAAAAGTAAACACTCCCTCCCTGGTACACAATGCCCCCGCATCCCTCCCACCACTCCAAGGACATTCCAGTATGCAACCTCAATTGTGGACTCTTTGATAACCATAATACACTACCATACATTGCTTTTAAATTACTCTCTCCCTCATCTGTTTCAGTGCAGTATACACAACTTATCCAGTTTTTCTCAGTGTTACCCCAACCCTGATATCAGTCCCATTTTACAGCAGTGGAACCATTCAATATTGGTCCCTTTGCAACTGAGATATTTCACTCAGCATAATGTCCTCCAGGCTCACCCATTTTGAATAATATTGCATGCATTCCTTGTTTTTCAATGCAGCATAGTAGTCCATTGTGTGAATATACCACAGCTTCTCTATCTATTCGTTTGTTGATGGGCACCTGGGTTGAATTTTTAAAATACTTGAGCACCACAACAAGATAAAGGTAAATAATCCAATAGAAAAATGGGCACAGGATATGAGCAGACACTTCACCAAAGAAGACATTCAGATGATCAACAAGCACATGAAGAAATGTTCAAAATCCCTAGCTCTAAGAGAGATGCAAATCAAAACAACTATGAGATATCATCTCACCCCAGTCAG